GTGTTTCCGATTTGTCTCTTAATTTGTTTGCCTTTATATTTGGTGTCTTGTCCTCAGTCTGTGTCCATTCATTGTGCTGTTTACACAGCCATTGTGGTGTTCTCCGTGTTCCTGTTCTCCTCAGAGTTTTTGAGCTGCCCTGCCAGCCTTTTTATTTTATTAATAAATCTTTTTGTTAAACTTTGGATTTTTGCCTGCACCCTGGGTTTATCCTGCCTGCACCTCACAAGTAGGGGGAAAAGGATATGCATTTTTTCTTTATAAATTAAAATAGTAGTAAAATATAATCATTAAAACATCTGAGGTACTTTGCATAAATATCTATCTATCCATCCGATTTGACAATTTTTCATAAATGAATATCTTCATTACCAGCCTTTGAATTACCATTTCACCTTTTTTTTTTTTTTTTTTTTTTACCACGCTCCCTAACTTTTCTCTTACTGCCCCTGGCTGTAGGCTGATAAAACAGCTCTCCTTGGAGCATCTTTGTTAGACTTCACCTGCTGTTATAGAACCAGCTGACAGTCCTGAAGAACTAATGAGATTCATGTGAGAAATTAATAACCTTCCGCCGGGTCCTCCTCCTCCTCCAGCAGCCGGTGCGGCGCCAGTCAGAGGCAGCAGGACCCGACCATCTGAAACGGAGAGGGGGTTGTCGGATAAGCCGCTTCCAGCCCCGTAGATAGGCCTAATGGTGCAAAGTAAGGACGCCGTCCTGAGCTCAACGGAATATGACGCATAAAAAGCTGTCGTTCGCTGCCACGGCCGTCTGAAGCAAACCTGAAGGTGCGTACCCGCAGTGGAGCTCCTCTCCTCCAGCATTAGGCGCATTAAATACAACTAGTGGTGTGGCCCAGTTCTGTTAGCCAGACACGGTGCTGTGTAATCTGATAAATGCTACATTTATTGCGCAATAGGGAATATGCAGGTTTTCATGCGGGACCGTAGAGCTCCGTGCAGCTTTACACTAGACGTCACAGCTCGCATGGATGCGTCTAGTTCCTGGAGCCGGTTTGAACCTGCTTTGCGACAAATGGTGACCTTGATGCGCTCAGCAGATACAGCACAAACCAATCACTGTTATTTTAAAACACTAAAGCGTATCTTTCCCACCGTAGTGTAAACACACTTAGAGATAAACGCAGAGTAAATTTCTCTAAATAGACCTAATGAGTTTGTTTACACCTCGTTTCTGAGTCCTAACTTCTGTTTATAGTCTAAACCAGTTAAACAGGACTGTCCTGTCCAGGCCTCTCAGAAAGGTTATCTTTTTTTAAAAAAAAGATCTAGTTCTAAAAAATACACTTTTTAAAACTAAAATAATGGAAATAGTCCGAACAAACTATCTTTAATAATAAAAACAAGTAAAAACAAAGATTTTTTTGCACAAGACAATAGTAAATTTACTACCAAATAATGTTGAAGCCACCTAATAGTGCCACCTAATAATAATAATAATAATAATAATAATAATAATAATAATAATAATAATAATAATAATAATAATAATAGCCACCTAATAGTGTTAAAGCCTTTATTGAATATTCTACTACTAATTAGTAATCAGTAGAATAAAACTTTAAGCTGATAAGATGATGTCATCTTTCATGCTGTATTAAAAGCCAGTGATGTGTTTTCAGAGAAGGCCTAAAAACAGCAAAAGTTGAAGCCGTGAGGATCTGTGTGTTTTTGTGGTTGGCTTTATGTGTATCTTGTGATTCCTGTGTTTAGTTACTTGTGCTTTCCTTTTTCCCTGTAGGCCATCATTTCTTCTGCCCTCTGTTAGTCACGCAGCTCCACTGTGTTTTTCCCAGACTGCCTCCCACTCTCACCTACCCTCCGTTAGCATTCAACCCAGCTGTCTGTCATACTGCATTATCTCTGCTCTATATATTCAGTCTATTCATCATTTCTTTTTCAAATTGGTTACTTTGAGCGAGTAAAGCCAAATAAAATAATGGCATATATATTATATATAACTCTTTTGTAAACTAGATTATACCTCCTTAACAATATTTTACTTGGACTGTTATCTATCCATCTCACCTCAAAGTATAAAGGTACAACACAAGACTATCTTTTATTTCAAAATGTAAATTTAAAATAACTTGCTGCAGTGTCAAACATAATGTTTGAAATAAAAACATATTAATATCCTGTTTGTTGAGTAAAATATTCATTTTGTTGTAAATACAATCGGAGAAAACTGCAACATAACAATGAAACTATTACTTCTTTATTAACTTGTGTTCCCTGGTTTCGCATTTAGATTTCATCATCTTGAATGAATTTAATAATATGACCCATTAAGAGGCAGCTGATAGTAAAAGGGTTTGTTACAGAGCAGTAAACTGAGCTGTAGACAGACATCTGCAGAACATTAGGAGCCTTTTTTTCCACTTCCTGTGCCTCGTCTGACTTTGTTTTAAACATTTTACTGATTTTCCATGTTGCTCCGAGTCTTAACTTCATGTTTTTGCTAGCGCAAATTAGCACGTTGCGATAAAGAGGACACTAGATTTCTTTTTCCTACCCTTGTTTTTGTAAACTTAGATATATTTAAACTTTAAATCGTGTTTACTGTTGTATCTCCAATCCAGGAGCAAGCTCTTGCTTGTAAACAGGGGAGGGGCTGCCACACAAACAGTAAAGAAAAAAGTAGCCAAAGGCAGCTTGCATCTGTTTTGGCCAAAACCTTTTTCTAGAAAGTAAAGCAGCCATAATATCCTGTGCTTTTCTGGGCCCCTAATTAGGTACAGATAGTGTTACAGTGAAGCCATTAAGGCAAAAAAAAAATTATAAAATTTGAATATCTAGAAATAACATCTGTATTTTTCTATTAAATGATACATTTTTTTAATTTAATGCATTTCTTGCAGGGATGTTCACCCTCACAGAAGTAGCTTCTTTGAATGACATCCAGACAACCTACAGGATCCTGAAACCATGGTGGGATGTCTTTATGGATTATCTGGGTATTGTTATGCTGATGTTGGCTATATTTTCTGGAACCATGCAGCTAACCAAAGACCAAGTGGTTTGTCTTCCTATCTTGGAACAAACCCCAGAAGGGTCTGGAGTTTTTATGGGAACTCAAACACAAGACCCGGCTGATCGTTTCTGGAACAAAGAAAATGCCATCGGGGAACAAGCTGCTCCTCTGATGGCTAAAAGGCCTCCTAACATTATCACTCCTACAACTCACTTCACACAATCTCCTGCTTTTGGGCAGCCTCAGTCTGCTGATGTCAGGACCAAGCTAGATTTTCAGCAGTATGTTTTTGTCAACCAGATGTGCTATCATGTTGCTCTTCCATGGTATTCTAAATATTTCCCATACCTTGCTCTAATTCACACTATTGTATTAATGGTTAGCAGCAATTTTTGGTTTAAATACCCAAAAACAAGTTCAAAAGTAGAACATTTTGTTTCCATTCTGGGCAAATGTTTTGAATCCCCCTGGACTACTAAAGCTCTGTCCGAGACTGCGTGCGAGGACTCTGAGGAGAACAAGCAAAGGCTGGCTGGTGCGTCCTCTCTCCTAAAACATTTGTCCACATGCAGCGAGGAGGGCAGTCCCAACCAATCGGCCCAAATGTTGTCTAAATCTGGGGTTGCCTTTTCTGCTGAAAAGCTTGTGAGCGAAATCCCATCCATGACTATACTGGACAAAAAAGATGGTGAACAAGCTAAGGCTTTGTTTGAGAAAGTCCGGAAATTTCGTGCCCATGTGGAAGACAGTGACTTGATTTATCGGCTCTATGCAATTCAGACAGTCATCAAAACTGTAAAATTTATTTTGATCTTGTGTTACACAATGACTTTTGTGGCATCCATCAACTTTAATCATGTGTGTGAACCCGAAATAAAGCATTTGACTGGATATGTAAAGTTCCAATGTACACATAATATGGCTTTTATGTTAAAGAAGCTTCTTGTCTGTTATATTGTGCTTATATGCGTTTATGGTGTTATCTGCATTTACACACTGTTTTGGCTTTTTCGACGACCTCTAAAGGAGTATTCCTTTGAAAAAGTGCGAGAGGAGAGCAGTTTCAGTGACATTCCTGATGTCAAGAATGATTTTGCATTTCTCCTCCACATGGTGGACCAGTATGACCAATTGTATTCAAAGCGTTTTGGGGTTTTTCTTTCTGAGGTCAGTGAAAACAAACTTCGGGAGATCAGCCTTAACCATGAGTGGACCTTTGACAAGTTGCGACAGCACGTGACCCGCAATCCTCAAGACAAGTTGGAACTTCATCTTTTTATGCTGTCTGGTGTACCAGATGCTGTGTTTGACCTTACTGACTTGGACATCCTGAAACTAGAATTAATTCCAGAGGCCAAGATGACTGCTAAGATCTCCCAAATGATCAACCTTCAAGAGTTGCACCTGTACCACTGTCCAGCCAAAGTTGAGCAGAATGCTTTCATTTTCCTCTGTGATCACATCCGGTGCCTTCATGTCAAATTCACAGATGTTGCTGAAATTCCTAGCTGGGTATACTTGTTGAAACATCTGCAGGAGTTGTATTTGGTGGGTAGCCTGAACTCTGAGAACAACAAACTGATCGGACTTGAGTCTCTGCGCGATCTCAGGCACTTAAAGATTTTACATCTTAAAAGCAACCTGACCAAGATCCCGACAAACATAACAGATCTGTCCTCACATCTGCTGAGATTAGTTATTCATAACGATGGCACAAAGCTTGTAGTGCTGAACACTTTGAAAAAAATGATCAATCTTGCAGAGCTGGAGCTTCATAACTGTGAGCTAGAGCGAATACCGCATGCAATTTTCAGTTTGAACAACCTTCAGGAACTTGATCTGAAGTCCAACAACATTCGGACCATTGAGGAGGTCATCAGCTTCCAGCATCTCAAAAGACTAACTTGCCTCAAACTTTGGTACAACAAAATCATCAGTATACCATTGTCAATAAGTCATGTCAAAAACCTGGAGTCGCTCTATTTCTCACACAACAAACTGGAATCTCTGCCCTCTTCATTATTTACTCTTCTCAAGTTGAGATACCTTGATGTTAGCCATAATTCCATCGCGGTGATACCACCTGAGGTAGGCTTTCTGCAGAATCTCCAACATTTTAGCATTGCAAGCAACAAAGTTGAGGTAGTCCCAAAGCAACTATTCAAGTGCACCATGCTAAAGACATTATGCCTCGGCCACAACCGCATCACCTCCATTCCAGAGAAAATTGGCCACCTCTCACAGCTCACACACCTGGAATTAAAGGGGAACTGTCTTGAGCATCTTCCAGTTCAGCTTGGTCGCTGCAGTCTTCTCAACAGGAGCTGCTTGGTGGTAGAAGACCATCTCTTTGACTCGCTCCCTATTGAAGTCAAAGAGAACATAAATCAGGAAGCTAGCATTACTTTTGCAAACGGATGTAAATGTCTAAGTGAAGGACGGTAGTAACAATGCATAATATGCATTCCATATTTGGTTTTATTCAAAGTGTACAACTGAAAGAAACTAATTCAGCACACCCTATAGTTTAGCTGTTAATTGTATTATGTAGCAAATTTAGCAGTTAGTTTTAAAGTTTGTGTAATGTCTGACTTGTTTTTAGTGTAACGTGAACACGTTGGCAACTGAAAAACATTGGTATTCTCTTTGATTCCCTTTCCCCCCTGCTTAAATGCCTATAATAGATTTAAAAAAAAATTCTTAAACTTAAAAAAAATTATTTTGAATTAATTTGAGGTATCTCTAAATTAATTCACTGTAACCTATTGTCCACATGTTGAACTTTTAAGTTGTATTGGCTGCATATTGCACAGGCTGTTATCGCAATGACAATATATTTTTTAATATATTGTGCGGCCCTACTTGTCTGATTATAAAATCTAAAGTTACAATCAATGTAGTATTGATAACTTTCTTATACCTTTTATAAGGAAGGAAATTCAGACCTCTGTTTTTGCTTGTCACCGCTTTCATATCAGCACCTTACCAATAATGATAATACCCAGATAAATCATACATCCAGAATATTTGTCCAAAAGACAACAAGGAGCTCAATTATCCCTCGCTCAGACGTGGGTTACTGGGACCTTGCCCTGGAGCCAGGCCTGGGAGAAAGGTTCATATGTGAGTGCCTGGTGACCGGGTCGTGCTTGGTCAGGTTCAGCACAAATGAGTTACATGTGTTTGCTTTCTTTTGGGCCCACAACCACTGTGACTTTGAGTTAGGGGTCAGTCTCTAACTTGCGTTTGTGCTGAACTGCAGCCCAGAGTATCCACCCTCTTTGAAGTTTTAAATGGGAATGCTGGAAGCAAACTGCTCTGGCTGGGAACTCCTTTATTTTGCTCGGAGCCATCAGCCATCAATGCCCATGTGGGTAGTGACAGTGACCAGAAGGACATGATTGGGAAGTACGCCTGACAGAAGTACCATTCAAAAGGATCTTTAGCTCCCACCTCAGAGAGAGCTTCAATCTCATCCCAACGAAGGCGAGACACATTAAGTCCATGTGGGCCATGTTCCATGCCATCATTGTCAAGTCAGCTGTCTTGAGTGGTTTTTGTGGTTGCAAGGGTTTCAGTGTCTCTCATAGCAGTCATCATTGAGACTGTCAAGCATTGTTAACTGGTATGACTCCAGAGGCAGTAGAGGGATATTGGCGGGCCAAAGAAGTTATAGCCCTGGCTGTTGCCAAGGAGGAGTTTGGTGAGGCCTTGTTTGGAGAGTCAACCTGTCTCATGAAGATTCTGGCAAACCATCAAGCAGATGAGACAGGGAGGGCAGTAGTTCATCAACACTGTGTACAGAAGAGGTGGGGTGGTTGACCTCAACCTGTGATGTTGTTGAGTGGTGGAAGGAATACTTTGTGGACCTTCTCAATCCCACCAGCGTGTCTCCAAAGGTGGAAGCTAAGTCGCTGGACTTAGGGTTAGTCTGTCCATAACCAGGACTAAGGTCACCTATGTAGCTAAACTTGATTGCAGCAGGGCTCTTGGTGTGGACAAACTCTACCATGAATTCCTCATGGTTCTGGGTGTTGCTAGGCTGTCTTGGTCTTATTTTGGGGATGAAAGAGTGTTTTTTAATTACTAGGGCATCACTCTCCTCAGTCTCACAGATGAGGTCTGTTCAGGTGTGCTGGACAATGTTTGAATCTCAGATTCAGGAGGAACTGTGTGGGTTTTGTCCTGAAACACTAGACAAACATATTACTCTCCCTAGGGTTCTCAAGGACGCATGGGAGTTTGCCCAATCAGTCTACATTGTTGACTTGGAAAAGGCATTTGATTGTGTTCCCCAGTGTTCACTATTGGAGGTTCTTCATGAATTTTGGGCTTGGGGGTCAGTTGCTAAAAACCATTCAGTTCCTATCCAAACAGTTAAAGAGTTTAGTTTGCATTGCTGGCAGTAAGACAGACTCCTTACTGGGATCTGACTTACTGCCAGCAATTCAAACTGGTGGAAATGGGCGGATGGATGTATGGAAGTCAGGCCTCCCTACTGTTACTGTATTTACTGAGCACTTTACAGTCACTGTGTCAGATTAACGTAAATCAAAAATATTCACCTACTTAGCTTTTGAAATTTAAATTGTTTCTTGCACAGAAACTACTTTTTTGTAACCATTTTACTGATACAACCCTTTAAAACTTCTTACTAGACTTACTACGTCTGGCAACAGAAAATGTAAAAAAACAGCACCTGAAATTTAATTTCATTTTCTACATTTGAATATGCAAGTACAATACCAAACAAAGTATATACACAATTTATGTGTGGGTTTCACCTTAAGATTCATGTTTTGTGGTGTTTTCCATAAAAAAGTTATTTCTCAAGTCTTTAAACATGCCATAATTTTTAATTAGTATTTTCAACCTCTATGATAACCAAAAAGTCACTTTCCTGTAGCTTTGCTTTTATGTCAGTAATTTTATGTTGGAAACAATTTTTTGTTCTGTAATTTGTGTGTATTTTCTATTTGTTTGTTTTGCATTGCACTTTTTAAGGCTGAATTTAACAATATGCTCTATTGCTGATAAAATAAAAAAAATGCTATAAAGGCAAATGGCAGTGCTTTTCTTTACGTTCCAAAGCATGTAGTGCACTATTTAGTTCAAAACTATTTTACTGCTTTTACTGTGTTTAATATTATTTATTGTAAGAAATAAAAAAATATATAACATTTTCTCAAACTGCCTGAATGTGTTTTAGCACACAGACTGTTTGAGATGAGTGAGTGATTATTTGGGACAGTGATTTATTGGACAAAACAGTATTAATGAGCTTCTAATTGAGCACTTGTTCAACATGGAAAGATTAATTGCGCATCGACTATACAAACTGAAGCACAACCACTTTAAAAGTCTCAGCTTTGAATCTCAGAATATTTGTATTGCTTGTGTTTTATCTGTACACCCGTCTTTCTGTTTTATATCCACTTGATCCTGTGCAAAGATCACAGGGAGCTGATGCCTGTTGATCTGTGGGAATTCTCAAAGAAAACCCACGTAAGCACAAGGAGAACATTCAAATTCAACATTGAAAGGTATGGAGTGACAAGAATACAACTTTTTTAAAATTATTTTTTATTTATTTATTTTTATTTTTTGAAAAAGGCCCCAGCAGGGACTCCAGTCAAAGGCAGGGCTAACACCTGCACCACCATGCAGACCCTTTTGTTACCTCCACCAAGGGCGAGGTAATGTTTTCGGTCACGTATGTCTGTCTGTCGTTCTGTCATTCTGTCTTTGGACAATATTACTCAAAAACTTGTGGACGGATTGTCATGACATTTTTACCACATGTGGGTACTGGGCCAAGGAACACACACAATTTTTCCCATTTCCTCAAACACACCACATTTCCCAAACAACCAATCAAAACGGTTTCTTGCTACTAGGCTTGTAAACAGAGAGCTGCCAGGCCTCAAAGTTTGGAGACGGGGGGAGCCAGGAAGCTCTTTATAAAGAGAGTCAAACCATTACAAACTCATACAAGGAGATAAAACAGATGTTTTACATGGTGAAATGTGACTGATGAGAACTTAGGAGCTTAATCCAACACCAGTTTGATGATGAATAACGTTGGGTGACAAGTCTGACTTTTGTTTTTGTTTTTTCACATTGGTCTCCACTGGGAAGAAATCCCTTGCATCCTGCCTGCTTAAATGTTCGCTACGTCAGAACTTATTCGGCAAATGTGTTTCCATCTCTGCTTTTGTGCATTAACTCTTACAGGATGGGGGAAATTGGTCTTGGCGGAGTTTTGCACTCTCCCAGTGCTTCTAGTTTATTTATAGGTTCCATGTGGTCTTTTTAAAGTGATAGGATAACTTAGCACCCACTGCCTTTTCTATCAGTTTTAAACTACAATCATCTAATAATGATAAGGAATGGATTTGTAGCAGTTTTGGTCAAACCTTGTAAATGAAGCTTGCACAATCTCATGCATCAATTGAGCATTTGTATAAATTGGTTTAAATTATTGTATTTTTTATGTACTCTATTAATCCTCACTGGGTAATTTAGTTGTCTGTAATTTTCCCATCACACATGAGCAGACATGTGGACTGCCATTTAAGGTGCCCGGGGAGCACCTGTTGTCGAGGGGTACAGACTGGGGCAAATGAGGGTTGCCCACCCACATTTTTATTTTCGGTTTCAGGAGTGAAACCAGGCTCACCTTATCAAACCTCTGCCCCACCGCCCCTTTTGTAGTAGTAGTAGTAGTAGTAGTAGTAGTAGATGATTTTCAGCTTCTAGTACAATAAATCTTAGCCAAACATCAATGACTTCTGAGTAACAGACATTTTTGGGTTGTCTAACTCTGTTGTCCAACTTAAAGTGGACCAGCTCCAAAAGTTAGTGAGTTGAAAGTGTGCAGGAGTGATTATTTTCTGAAAGTTTCACTAAACTCTCTCTAGTGGTTCAGTGGATATTTTGATAACAGACAGACAGGTGCAGTGGGTGATAAAAACCGGCTCTGTTTAGATTTGCAGAGATACGTGCCAGCAGTAGTTCAGTATCAACAGTTACTCTTTGTGTTCAGCAAACACAGGTTTGTTTAGGAGAGACAGCCGACAGACTGTGACTCAGTTATTCCAGTAGCTGTTGTGTTTCTGACACCTTTGTGAAGGTGGACCTGCTGTAAACTCTGCACTTCCTGTGAAAACATGAAACCATCACAACAGAAAGCTGTGATTAAAACAAATAAAAACTATGAACAACCTGAATGAAAATGTATTATGCTGTGCTGCTCTCTAGTGGAAGTTGAATGATGGTGCATTTTTTTATGTACTATCATTTTAAAGGTTCAGTCTACATGATTGATTAGAGTGTTTTTTACATATAAATTATTTGTTAAAATCAGATTAATTGAATCTGAATAGTTTTTGCCTTTTTCTGTAAATTGTTTTATTTCTTCTCAAATTCTGGTGTGAATGCACCTGTTCTATAAAAACTCACCCAAGTCAATTTCTTGCTTACTAAGACTCAGTTATACTTAATCTGTTTTTAACTAGTGCCCAATCCCTCAGTATTTCATGGTTTTATAGAAGTGTATTCATAACTGTAAGTTTTGTTTTTAATGTATGATCTACTTCAGAGGTTCTCAAACTTGGGTCCCAGGACCCCCAGGGGTCCACAAGCCCTATCTTGGGGGTCCTCAAAAATTTTCAATAAATGGTTATTTTGGATTTTATTTGAAAAATGAACATGAGGAACAATGCACTAGTAAAACAACCATACTAAACCAAACAAAAACATAATATTCTCATAATATTTAGGGGTTAAAATGACAGTAAATTATTTCTAAAACAGCATGGGGTTTATGAGGGGGTCCCTGGAAACATTTCACACTTGTATGGGGTCCTCAGACCCAAAAGGATTGAGAACCCCTGATCTACTTCTCACTGCAGGTCATAGATTAGATTTTTGTTCTGCATGGTGTATCACATTATTATTATTATTAAAATGTGACTTCAGAGCCGCAGAGAATGCAGAGGTTATGTGCAGAAGAAGTGACGTCAGATGGTGTTTTTTTAAAATAAACTTTATTTACAACATAATGTACAATCAAACAGTACTGTACTCGAGGAGAGAGAGTAAAGGTACAAAAAAATGCAAAAACAAAATAAACAGAAGACAAAATAAAAGGTTATAACTTAAAATCTTCACATAATTTTTTTTAGTTTTATAGCTTTCAAATTAGTGCAGAGTTTCAGTGAGTCCAAAAAACAGTTCAGATAGGCCCTAAAACCAGCGAACTTGGGTTTTTGTTTTGCAAATTTGCTGGCATGAATGTGGAATTTAGTCAATGATATGAGAAAGTTCATGATATATTTTATCCCAGACATTCTAAAATCAAAGACACCAAATAAAGCATGTTTTACATTCAGTTTAACAGGCATATCAAATTTGCTATTAAAAAACTAATTAAGGTCACACCAAAAGGTTTTACTAACTGTGCAGTCCCAGAAAATATGAGTTGATGTTTCATTTCCAAGATGACAAAAGGAACAAAGACGCTGTGGGGTTGGTTTGAGGAAATAACCACACATGCTACATGTGTGTGGGGTTCAGGAGTTCTTGTACAATCAGAAATGATTAAATTATTTTCTGATCTGTTTGTTAGGCCCAGCGTTTACGTTTAATTTTCCCTCTTGATGGATTCTCCGGCTCAGTATTTAATTTTCAAAGCAGAGCAACGAGCGGAAGGTAAAATAAACTTAATATCGATCCCAACCCATTAGCATCGATACAGTCCGACACTAACTTAGCATGATCTGTTGCTGTAGATGAGCCATCATGGGAAATGAAAAGAGCAAAGATGAATCAACTGGACTTCTGTTCTGTAGCTGAAGACATCTGTGTGTGAGTCTGCACAAGGTGGTTTGTACCTTTAAATAAATGCATGAATCGATCTGCTCACAGTTACGTCACTGCTGTTACGTAGAGTCGTAAAACGTAATATGAGTGCTCAGATCAGCTTTGTAAAATTTTGTAAAATATCTGATACTTTGCACAGGAGCAAAAGAAAAAATCAGTTTTGGGCCACATCTACCTGCAGTGCGAACATAATTTAAAAGGAAAGAAGAAAACACATTGTTGTGATGTAAGGTCATTAAAAAGAAAAAAGCCCAGGTTTTGAAAATGCTTAAAAGAAAATAATAAAAATGTGAAACTTTTTTTTACAGTATGAAATTAACATTAAGTATACCAACAACAAAAACTGAAACAGAAATAGCAATAACATACTTAATGCCAGTGTGAGCAGCACTGATCTAAATATTAGTTGCACTAAGAAATATTTAGGTCCCCTAATTCTGAAGCACTAATGCACTGAAAAATTTAGCAAAAGCTAATTCTAAAGCACTAATGCACTGAAAAATTTAGCAAAAGCTAATTCTAAAGCACTAATGCACTGAAAAATTTAGCAAAAGCTAATTCTAAAGCACTTATATAATCCAGTTGACACATGAAACATTCTCCCTCTCCCCAGCTCATCCTGGGGGACCCCAAAGCATTCCCAGGCCAGAGAGGATATCCACTAATAATTAAAAAAAATAACAAAAGCCCTAAAGCACTAATCAAGAAATTAGTTCCTCTACTAGTGCTTTAGGGGAACCCCGCTCACCACTGTTTTATGCTATTAATAAATGGTTTGAATGGTTATTTATTTATTTATTTATTTATTTATTTTTGGGGTGGGGGTATGGCTGGTGTGCTCTCTCTTATCCTCGTAAACTTTGAAAAGCCCTGATCTTAACAATTTCCTAAATCGGTGGTGTGGGGGGCCCCCCACACCACCATCACAAAAAAACTTTAAAATAACTTTAAATAACTTTTGTAACAACTAAGGCAAAAAACAAAACAAAAACAAATGTTAGTAGTGATGTGGAGCCTAGGCGTAAATTTAGACTGGAAGACTCTCCCCGCCTCACCTGCTTCTCCCACCTGTTGCGTCGAGCGACCAGCTGCAGCTCATCAGCGTCTGATCCTCACCTCACCACGTCCAATCATCTCGCCGAGATCATCGTTAAAAGGCCCTGCATCTAAGGAT